TAGTAAGGCACCTGTTACTACTAGCGTGGCACTTGTTACTACTAGCTGTACCCAAAGTGTAAAGTCACAAGCCGCCAGTTGATCCGAGATTGCCGCATTGCCTATGTCACAGACCAAACATGACAAGCGCAGTGACAAAGCTGACTTGTCCATCCCTGTCAACCTTACCCAAGCAATTTCCGGCCAACTCAACACCATTGCCATCAACAACATGAGAGAAAAACACATTGCCGTGGCGGGTCGTCCGTCGTTTCAACGCCGAAGGGCTGTGGAGTAGGCGAAGGCCACGAGCAGCAGCCAGCTCAGCAATTGGCCTCGACCTCGTTCACCATCACTTTCGCAAGCAGAAATGGGCTGGTCCAGTTCAGGAGTGTCTGTACAGTGGGTTCAGAGTAGATGGCACAGGTTACCCCAAGTTTGGTGGTTCAGAGGACCCCCATGGAAAAGACATCTTGGGGGTTGTGCCATCTACTCTGAAACCACTGTAATTATTGTTGGGAAACTGGTCGATGAGCACATAGGAAGACATGTGAAGAAATCCATCTATTGAACATATGAATATGAGTGAATGGTGAATGGTGGTTGAATGATGCTGTTTATTAAGCAAACCTGGAATTCTGTGGAATATAGAACCCTGCAGCATGCAGATTTAAAATATGTTGCCCGAAAATGTCAATGGTATAGTAATAAATATGTATATACTGTAAAGGTCAATGCTATTTGCACAAATCCACATGTCAAAAAAAGTCAATGCCAAAGTTGTACCTTTCTCAGTTGGAGTGGGATCTTGCACCCTCACATTCGCCGGAACTGTATAGGGACTCACAGTCTCTCTGACCTTACACTCTGGGACCTCAAGACCTCATAGGTTAACAGTCTGGGACCTGGGACTCTGGGACCAATCAAGACCTCCCCAGTGCTCCTCCTGCGCTTCCCCAACATCTGTGCCACACATGCCGCAGCACCATGGCACGAACCGATGGGCGAGCCGCGGTTCTACGCGCTCTTCGCGCCGCGTGGGGGTCCCGGTTGACTCACACTGCGGGTGCAAGCAGCGGGTGAATTGGGGGGGCTGGAGCGATTTACACGGAACTTCTTCACTCCCCTCATTCAAAGCTGAGGAAGGTCATGTTTGGCGGTCTGTGGGTCTGTGGGTGACCTCCTGTGACGTTCAGAACGACCATCGAGTACCGAAACAATGCCGTGGCACATTGTGGAACATCCCATTTTGAGGGTTCCAGTGCTTCCAGGTAGCGCAAAGGTTCTTAACATGAACAACACTGGACTCAGAATGCAACAATTCTGGCATCCTGGTGGGTCCATACCAAACACAGTCCAATGCGAGTTCTCTATGGGGAGAAAAGAACACACACCATTCACCTCGAAGCAGTACCAAACACAGTCCAATGCGAGTTCTCTATGGGGGGAAAAGAACACACACCATTCACCTCGAAGCAGTACAATCCTCTTGCACCCCACCAACCCACTGTTAAGCCAGTTAAACCCCAAATAAGAGCACTAACACAACCCACTCTTGAGAAAGAATGTAACTACACGTTCTTTTTTGGGGGGGAGAGGACTTCCCTTCCATTCCAAGGTCTTGCAGGGGTTTTCATGTCATCTCTATCTTCCAGGGTCGGTCCTTTGCCACCAACCTGACCAACTCCGGACTGGGTGCACCACATGGCCGTTGCCAGTGGTAGATCCCTCTTGCGTACCAGCAGGGCCTGCGACCGTTTGGTTCGCAAACGCCCAGCGGTTCCACGGTGGCGAAAGGGAGCGGACACCAAAAAAAAAAGTCTTTGTGGCACATGGGTGGCACATGGAAAAACAGGACTCCCTGAAAGAACGATATGATATAGACCAGTCCGCATGTGTGTGTGTGTTGGTTCATGTTCCCTATTGAAAAATACAGTACCACATGCAAAGTGGCTGGAGATTCCTGACCAACAGCACTCCCATGTCTGGTGACCTCAAACATCAGTGCTGTCCAGGAGATCTTGCCATCACTCAGAGCTGACGAATCCAAGATCTCCAGGACAAAGGTTTCCACCGCAAATCTATTACAGGGTTCATGTCGTTATTCTGGATAATTCAGAACATCTCAGAACCTAAAGAACCTCCTGATGGTGTTACCCAATTGGTATTCAGTGGTGCCTCCGGAAGATATCTGTGCAACATGCTGCAAATTAAAATGTGTTTGGGATGGGGACCCTCCAACAGGTGGTGTTTGAAAACAACCAGATTCACGAAATGCCACCCCTGCAGCCATTAAATATGTTTCGACAAGATTCAGAAGCTCTAGAAACAGCAAGAAGCGGCAACGGACAAGAACCCCCGAGAAGTGTGTGAACACTCGGCTTGCAGCAAGATGAGAGGGGTAACAGTTTATGTATAGTGAAAACATACACTTAGCCGTTACATGCGTTGTTCCATACCATAAACTCATCCAACACCTGGGCCAAACAAGGTGCGCTGGTCGAAACCGAAAATCGCCTCGCCTCACCGGCCTGTCGCCAGGGTAGCCCACTGCGTGCAAGGCAGGGGCCAAGGTAAGCCACCTGGGAAAGCTCCGCTGCGGGCAGCACAGCGGACCACCGGACATCACAAGACCGGGCTCGCGGACAGTTCGAGAAGAGGCCGAGAAAAGGCCTATAGGTATACCGGGCGGTTTTTGATTGATTTCAGGGGTCAGTACGGCATATATCTCAGTCCCATTAGTGGTGTATTGTATGTGATGTATCTGATGTCAGGGACCTGCGTAAGCGGGGTGAGTTTCATGGGAGGTCTCCCTATCTGATGACACAACACGTGTGATAAAGAGCTACCCTGTTATTTTCTCTCATGGAAGGACCTTGTTGTCTGAGCTGGGCACAAAATCGACATGTCCATGACATCAAGAAGATATTAAAGATTGTTAACCTGTTCCACATGGGCACGGGTCAAGCCCCGTACTCCCTGTGTCTACATCCAAACACAACAAAGCAATCCCGAGCACCCAATTATAAAATAAAACAATCAGATGTAGGACACCCCTAAAAACAGGAAAACAAATGGTGCAAGGTCATTTTAGAGGGGCTTTCTTTATTAGGACCTGCACCCACCGGAATTACCACCAAACGTGCCAATTCACACACATGTGTCATCATGTGTCCCATTCCCCAATGGCACGGAGCCACACAAAGGCAATGTCCACTGAGGAATTAGTCTAATGGAAACTTGTCAAGCGAAGAATAGAAGAATCAAAATCTTTGTAAGGGTTTAGGGTTTAGGGAAGAGACAGACTGATCGATCTGCAGGTTCTTTTTTACTTGATACGAGCTTGACAAAAGAATTTAAGTAGTACAATTCTCCTAGGAAACTTTTCGGTTTTGAAGCTCTTCCCAGATTTCCTTGCAGGTCTCCCTATTTGGAGGACCCCTACTATTTAAAAGAAAAACACTGGCCCAGAGTTTTGTCTGTTTGTCTTTTTTGGGGGGGGCGGGCGTGTTTTTGTTGATAGGTGAAGCGATATGAAGGGATTGGATACAAATCGTGGTATACATTGGGGTCATGAACAACTAGCAGTAAGAGCCCTCCAACTGATGTCGAGCTTCCGGCCGGGCGTTGCCATTCTGTATGTCCGGTCGTTCTTTTTACATCGTACGCTCCTTCCACCCACCAAACCCAGACTGGTTTAAAAGAATGCTGCGCCTGTTTCCACCAAGGGCAGCCATCCGTCGATGGTTGAAGAATGAGATATTCCCCATCCCAATCGGTGTTCATCAGGGGGGGGCAGGCCATAAATATTATATAATCAGAAACCTGATTCCACATGATTCCACCTATTTCTTTTTCACCCTCATGAGGCAGTGTCTTTGCCTTGTAGCCCGACTCCCAAACCTGAAGACCAACTCCAAAACCCACCGACCAGGTGAGTTCAAAGCAGGTGATGTTCAATAAACCTCGTCTCCAAACCCACTCCTGCCACCCCTTTTTCATGACTCGGGACCTGAACAAGGCGACCCAAGCGACTGAACGACTGACTGCCAAAAGGCCGGACAAGCATGGCCCAAACCATACATCCAACCTTAATGTAAGGATATCTAAGGTGCAATTTTAGGTATAGGTGACCCAAGGTGACCCTACCCCTGCCATCATGTGCTAAGGTTAAGGCTTATCCCTATCACCCAGTCACCCTTCGTCCACCGTTCGTCCAAAGAGGTGACTATTGTTGTCACCACCGTATTTCCGCATGACTCGCAGCGGTGACTCGTCTTGACTGGGTTCCCAACTGCAACCAGGGCCGATAAGGGAAGATCCTGTTGGTGCCGAGCGCTTGGAAACTCACAACGATCTTCATGAGATCCAGCGATGAGCATCCAGCGGACAAAACAAATACCTGGCATTCATTCTAGCACTTGAGGCTTTTTGGAGGGTTGTCCACCAATATCAACAAAGTTTGGGGTGCCGATGAAGATCAAGAATAACATATGTAACCGTCATTGTAAAGAAGATTAAAGAAGTATTACAAGACATTTCAGTATGATTACATGTAAATACACAACTTATATTATATAGGTCAATTTACCCTGTCATCACCACCCAGTCATCAATCGTGTTCTCTCCCTAGCTGCACTGTCGGGCTTTGTTTGAGCCTACACCCCTCTCCACCATGCTACACCCCTCTCCCTGTCAGAGAGCGCGCTCTTTTTTTGGGCATCCACCAGCTCCAGGACACCTCAGTCTCCCCATGTCCCTCTCACGCCACAGACGGGTGGTGCCACCGGCAGTGTCTCGTGTGGTGTGATGTGATTGGGCCAGGGGTCTCCCAAAAGACAGACTCACATTGGTCGAAATGCGTTCGTCTACTACTCCCTGTCTGGTTGCAATAGGAAGTGGAATGGTTGTTCCATCTGAATTACCCCTTGATTCATACCAGGAAATGCCAATATGTACTAGCCGCGACATCACCTGAGAAGACTCAGGAACCCAACCCTTCAGCAGCTTCCACCAGGCCACCTTTCAGCAGCTCCGTCTCAAAGCTCCGGAGCCGCTCCGCCGCGGCCACCGCGGAAGCGTCCGCGGCGCACTCCGCGGACTCGGGCTGTGGCACATCCAGCCGGGCCAGGTGCGCGTGGAGGAGGCGACTGAGAAAGGCCTCCAGACCCGCAGCGGAGCTGAGGGTGACCAATACGTTCGGAAGTTTCGAAGAGATAAACCCCTTAGCGCCCAGAACAGCCTCCACACTGCACACGCTTGATTCTTTGTGTGCACTGTCGGCCTGGGCTTCCTCCTCACGGCGCACTGGCGCTTTCAAACGCTCCAACCTGACGGGTCACGTGACGCGACTTCCACTCCAGAGATCCATCAATCGATGGAAGAGTGCATGGAAAAAAGCACTTGGAGCCTTGAAGCCACTTCCTTCCCCCCCCGCGCCACCAGTGATGTCGCCTCGATCCGTTTGAAGCCACCCCCCAGGTGGCCAGAAGTGTTCCCCCGAGTTCCGAAGAGACCCGGGAGAAGAAGAACAACACGGTGATCTTCTTCTCTTTGTGAGGCTGTTTTTGGGGCATTGCCCGCTAGCTATCAACAAAGTCATTCTCAAACAAAAGAGCATCAGCTGGATCATCAGCTCCCAAAAGGTTTCACCTTTCGCGGAGGCGGATGTTAACGTTGACTTATGCCCTCTCATGTCTCTTGGGCTGCACAGGACATGTCCTTCCGTGTTTGATTGTTGCTGCATAGCTCCCTGTCCTCCGACATGTGTTTGATTGGCCTGGAAGTTGCAGTTGATCACTTGTAGAGCTGTGTTACTTAAGTGGTGCAGAGGGTGTGTGAATGGAACCATGTAGTTTTTACAAAAATGCACATGCAAAACATATCAAAACATTGCAAAACAATCTGGTCCATCATCAACAGACCCCTCAACCCCCCCTTGATTGCTGTTGGCCCCAATTGAGTGCTGCTCCCATGCTCCATTCTCTCCCCATCTCTAGGGAAGTGGCTGCTCCTCCATCGGCAGGAGGTCCACATCGAAGAGCTCCTTTCGACACACGTTGTGGACGGGCCGACGACCACCCTGGGTCGGATGAGGCTCGGTGGCCAGACCGGAGCTCCACCGACTCGAAGAACCCACACCGACTCTGTGTTCCTGCGGCTCCAGTCGTACCTTCTTAGGTCTTAGGTCAGGTGGGACTGGGGGCTTTGGGGGCCTCCAGTCATACCTTCTGTATGACTGGAGCCCTATAGGGGATTCGATTGTTTCCCGCAACAGCTGCCCATGGACGCGGATCATCTCAACGGAGTTGTGCTAAGTAGGGCCAAACAGGGGATGATGTCCAAACAGGACACCCATGTCCGGGTTTTTATGCTCCTGGTAAGTTGTGGTACGCTACCAAAAGAACTTGGAAAGAACGCTTCAAAAGACTTTATATAGAGAACTTGGGTTTTCTACCTGACCCCACGATTCAAGACGGCCCCAAAATGGCCCAGAGCCCTTGAAACGGCCCCCAACCCCTCGACCCTTTGAGAGAGATTCCCTTCCCTGAAGCAAGCATGGTGATGTGGATGGCTTGGCCCCTCCAAAGGCAACTCTCAACACAAACAGCGGATTGAATATCCACATTCCATGTTTGTTTGGAGGGGTGCATCCGGAAATGTTGATCTCTTCTGCGCCAGAGCACACCTGTTGCAGTGTGCTGGGAGTATAGTCGGTAGTAGTAGGCACTCGGGTTCTGAAAGGGAAGTTATACACTTTCATACCTAGAACTGAATTGACCTTTGTTTGGTGGTTGGTGGTACACAATAGAGGTCACAAAGAGGCTATAGGCATATATCTATCCCCTCACAAATCTGAATCATGATCCAAAGTTATGAACATCATATCTGCAGCGCTCTCTGCCCAAATCCCGGCTCCTTGGTTTTTGGGGGTAGTTCTTTGCGCTGGTTGTCCACTATGTTTTCGCCACGCCTCCTCACCCACCCCACGCCTCCTCCTCAAGGACCAGAACCCTGGCAGCGCGCCAGAGAGGACTCTCTTCAGCCTGCGAATGGGGCCAGGCAACAGGGGCCAAACGCACCACCCCGAACTCCCAGCGTCTTCTCGGTGGAGTGATAGATTGTCCAAACCGATTCTTCCAAAAACTCCCCGTGAAGTCCATGATGGATTCTATAGTGGAGGCATAATATGGAGACGAGATATATCCCAAGTTCATGGAGACATGGGACATGACCGATCTCCATTATCTGATCATCCGATCTCCATCATCTCCCACTCTGAACCATTCTTAGCCCCTGCATTTTGGGGAACCTTCCATGCTCTTCCATGCGGTCCAGGTCCACCTGGACTTTCACGTCAAGGCCGAGTCGCCATGAACGCGCTTTCTCAGAACGCCTCCGAATTCCGAGGCGGCTTCCTTCCCGAAGCAGTTCGGCCGCCTATCCCATAATTAGATGTCTACACAAATGTGTACCACAGGGACAATCACTGACCGAGGGTTCAGGTCTCTCAACGTTGTGGCCGACGACCAGCGCCGGACTCGACTGGACCCGCAAAGGCCTTGAAGTCCGGCAGCCACCAAGCCTGGCGCTTAGCCGCCGTAGGTGCCGAGCCGTACACTTGCCGATGGAAGGGATGTCAAACGAACGGGTGGAAGTACGATAAGAAACCTGACATAAAAAATATGTCAAACTGTTTGAAGAAGAATTCTGAATTGATGTGTGAGTTTACTGTGTAATGCATTTAAGCTTGATCTTTGGCATACTCGCTCACCCACCAAATACAATGACCTGTAGCATCAACTGAAAAGCCATATAGTGACAATGACTCCAAAGGCTTCAGAAGACTGAGAAAAAAAGAACAAGTGGATTGTCCAACGGCTTCCCGGCTTCCTCGTTTCAAAAAGCATGCACTTCCCCATTTCACCTGATTGGAGGACACAAGCACAGAGGAGAATCGCCAAATGAGGTTTTTTTTGAGAAGCACGTGTTCGAGTCTGGGTGATCTTCACGCGTGGTTACGGCCAGGTAAGGCAGTGGACAAATACACATGCATACACATGCTATGAACCGTACACTTCTTGGAAATTTCTGCCCGGGTCCAGTTTCCCATGCTACGAGTCTTGGCCGCAAATAATTATCCTGAAAAGAAGGACCTGAAAAACCACACAGTTCACTCTGCTCGAAGCATGTGTTGGCTCCCCATTAAAACTGTAGGCCCCACCTGGTCAAGTGAAAGGTCCTCCACTCCTCCTCTTCCAAAAGCCTCCAAATTCATCTCCGGGGGCGCTCACTGCTTGGACTTGGCTCTTCAAGCCAACTTGCCCCAACCCAACAGGTCCTGGTCCACCGTGCCGGGCCCTCTCTCGCGGTCGCCTCCAGGTCAGCGTCGTATCCCAGGGGCGCCAGTGCCTCGAGCAGCCTCTCCTGCCGACCTCCCAACACGCCGTGGCGAGCGCGCAGCGCGTGCAGCGACAAAGGCAGCTCGGCGGTGTGGATGAGACCTTGGGCGGCGAAAAAGCAACCATCTGCGGCATCTGCGGATGATTTGCAGGGTGAATTGACTTTAAGATCAACAAGAATTAGGATCCAACTTTTTTATATGGCGGAAGTGTGGTTCCCTTGATTGCAAAGTGGCTCAGAAATGTATATATATATATAACGTACCAGAAATGATCATGATGTTTCTTCAAAACAATGATTCGTTGATATTTGTTGCATCGTCCCTTGTGACACCCCTGTACGACGGAAAGCTGTCAAAATCAACAGCTGTAGAGGGCTCTATTGGCAATCTGGATCTATATATTATTCTGCTCACCTCAAAAGCAACATACAAAAAAACTAATTTAACAAGAAAAACAAATCGTTCTGCCTGCACAGCTGTGGCGCTCCCCTCTAAAACATGGGGAAGCATGTGAAACATGGCGGCCCCAGTGGCAGGTCTCATCGAAGAAGCCATAGGCCTCAAAAATGTCCAGGAAATCTGCTTCGGGGTAGTAGCTGATGGTGAGCTCTTCACCATCCTCCACCGGCAACTCCGCCAGCAGCGTGATGCTCCCGGCCTCCTGAACCGCATTGCTGACTCCCTCAGTTTCGCTGGAAAAAAGGGTTAACCTCTTCACCTGCTCTTGAAAAAATTACTGGGGAAACCATGGGAAACCAATCCCCAAAAAAGAGGTTGTTACAGCAAGCGCTGTCAATTCCGCTTTTCCCATCTGCTGCCTCGCGCCGAGTCCAATCACCAACCGTTCCAACCTTCGTCCGAACCCCTCCGAACCCCAATCGGCTTCCCTCCCAATCGGCTTCCCTCGGAATCGGCTTC